GTACCCCCTTTTTGTTTTATTAAATTTTTACTTTGATTCTTGAGCGTTTGTGCCCATTATCATTGGTGTGAAAAGCCCTTCCTATTATCTGCCTTATGGTTATAGATATTTTAATTAATATTATATATGTTCAGATATGCTCTAAGAGCAAATGAAGCTGACCATGTACAACAGGGGTCGGCAACCTGTGGCATGCAGGACGATTTTCAATGGCACTCTGATTGAATAGAAATGTAGCAAAAATTATATTTTAATTATTAATTACACATTTAAATGTACATCATAGTTCAGCGAAGGCCGTGGTGCATTAAAAATGAATCTCTTGTTTGTATATTTCTATTACAGTACATCTGTTTATGCTCCATGTGTCCATTTACGTGTTATGCAAGCGCTTCACATGTAAGAACATAATTCAATTAACAACTTACCTTCAAAATTATACAGTTTTGAAATCAGTTATAACTGGACTAATTTTGATAACATATATAATAAACTTGGTAATCGTGTTGGCACTCGGAATAACACTATAACTGATGTTAGGCACAACACTGCTGAAAGGTTGCCGACCCCTGTACTACAATACTACTACAGTAAAGCATCGATTATCTGACTCAATTGGGGACTCAGGTTGGTCAGATAACTGAAAAATCGGATAACCGAAAAGAAGGAAAAAAAATACATTATTAGTATAGTATATCCCATGTTTATTAGTATTAGTTTATTAGTATTAGTATTAGTTTATTAGTATGTTGCTATTAACCAACTTTGCGTTGAATTTTCATCAATGTTTAGCCTAATAAATTTTTTTCTTTTTTAAAATAACAATTGTGGCTATTGTATCGTTAAAAATTATTTTTAAATTATTTTATTGCTCACAAAACAAACCACCACTCATAATTAGAAAATTAAGTCTCGTTTAAATACTGGCCTCCCTTCAATGGTCGAGCCATCGATGCCAGCTAAAACACACAAATATTTAACAAAAATAATACTAAAGTAGCCAAGATATAGCCAAATATCGTAATGCCACATCACTAGCGGACATTTGAAATTTGCCGACTAGAATGGTCAGTTAACCGATGTGACGGTTAATCGGGGTCGGATAATCGATGCTCTACTGTATATATTTGCAACAAAAAATAATAGTACAGTAGTTATGAAATTAAATTCTTATTAAATTTAATTAAAATATTTATTCTTCAAGCATTTTGATACAAATCAGAATGTGGTCAAATTTATATACATAGTTATATTCTAATTTTTTAAAATTAAACAATAAAAATGATGGAAGTGGACAACATATCTATGTAAGTTCATATATTATCTTATATATTTATTATTTGAAATGATCATTAAAAAAAAATATGCAGTGAATCAAAATGACATTTTAAAAATTAAAAACCATTTCACATTGATCATCATCTGATTCTAGTGAGTCATATTCCACATCATAATCTTTGGAACAACATTTTGACTGCGTTTTGTCTTCTGTAGCAGATGATATTTCTTTCTCTTCTTCTTCTGCTTCTGGTGGCCCATGTTTACATGCCCTAAATATGCGGTTACTTAAACTGGATTCATATTCCTGTATGGTGAAGTTCTTAATTTCTTCTTCAATCTCATCTTCCTGTATGAAAATATTTTCTTTCTTTCAGTTAAATTTTTAAATATATCAGCATATTAAAGTTAAAATTTCAAAATGTAGTCACACATTAGGCTGCATAAGTAAAAATATACCCAGTACATTGTTCATCTTGTGTATGTTAGGATGAATCAAGAATGTTCCTCATTTTGTAAAATATGCAAATATTTGTGTAATTCGTGAAATTGGCATATCAACTGTCAATTTCACAAAATATTTTCCAATATGATACTGACATTTGTATCATCTGTTGAATTATGATTTAGAAAGTATCAGATGAAAATTTATGTTAGTGGTGTTTTCTTATTTGGAGATTGTGGCTAAGTATAAAAATATCATTAAGTAATGTTTATAGCGTATAGATTTATTTTATGTAAATAGAGTTTAAAAAAGTTAATTGAATAATATTACCATTTCCATGTTTAGTTCAAATTTTGTCAGAAAGATGGGAAAAAGTACTTTTACAACATGGTTTCTAATGAATAATACAAAATTTGTCACTTTTTAATATTAAATGTTATAAAGAATAAGTAAAAATTATAGTATCTAATATCTTGACCATCAAAAATTAGAAACTCATAAACTATGGTAAACAAAAATGAAAGCTCTCCAAAATATGTAAGTTTGATGGTCCAAACGGTTAAGATGTCAGACTATTGCTCTGGGGAGTCTGGATCAAATCTGAGAGAGTAATTGCGGGAGTTTTTCTCAGACAGTTCATCCCAGATATGTTGGACCCATCCCTCACTCACCATCTGGTTATCTCCATTGTGAGCTTGGCTGAACTCACAATGAATATGAAATAAAAGCCTTCTTAGTGCCCACAGAGTGAAAACAGCCAAAAAATTTTTCAAATGGTAAGTTCTTAAATTTATCTCAATGATGCCCTGATGTTGCTTGGTACAATTGCTAATTTCACAAATTATTGTCTACTGTGTGAAATGAGCAACATTTATATATTCAGCATACCAGATACATATCAGTAAGTAAATAAATTACAAAATAATTTGTTAATTTATGTAAGGAATATCATTATTGTCCTCCCTTTTCTCCCTCAAAGGAATTAGTCTTAAATAAGATAACTTGATATGCTAACTCCTCAAGCCATCTATCTCCTCATTTAACTTTACTCCTTTCTTTCCTAAATGCTGTTTCCAACTTTTCTTGGGAATTACAAGAAATGGAAATAGGTAAAAGTTCATAATTCATCTAACCAATTTATCCTCTCCTCTTCCAATCACCTGTCCAAGTCACCTGAATCTATTTTCTATAACCTTCTGTCTAGAGAAGCATATGTTCCCTACTCCTAAAATACCTGTTTTATGCTCATTCTCAATCCTATCAGCTAAGATAATCCCATATACAAATCTAACCTACTTCATTTCTGTCCATATCTTTTCTACCTGAGATTTCTTTATTCCTTAACATTCAGATACTAAGAACTGTCTTGTGAAATTTGCCTTTTAATCTAATTGTACTTGTATCACAAAGTACTCCACCACTTTTGCCACCCTATACCTATTCTTTTTGCTATAGTTCTGTTTAACTCTCATTCACTTTAACATTCATTTTAAGTACTTTCTCCATCCTTTTTATTTTCCTATCTCTAATAACTAACCCATACACTCTCTCTCCTTATAAAAGTGTACAAACTTTGTTTTCTCTCTGACAATCTTTAATTTTTTATGATCTAATCTATTTCTATAACCTTTTCTGTTTCTTCTTCCTTATCTTCACTAACTAGAACTACATCATCTGAAAATTACATGCACCATGGTTCTTCCTTCACACTTGTCCCTTATATTAGTGTTATACAAACTGTTAAGAAAATATGAACTTAATGACTATAGCAGTGGACACCTACTTCTATCCTGAAACCTAAATATATCTCTATATCCTCATTTAACTTTACTCTCCGACCTGTTGGACATATCCTGGACTAAGTACAGTACCTGCCACATATCTGCCATTCTAGAAACCTCATCAGCTTTTTTCTAAATCTATGAATACCATGTTCAAGCCTCTCATTATTTATCACAAAAGGAATATCAAACTGAATGATGTAACCAGAAAAACCTAAATTTTTTCAATTCACAATTTAATTTAAAAAACAAACATTTTCAGCTAATTTCAATACTCATAAGTATTTCAAATGTAAGGATGATAACAAGATTCCAGAAGAGCAGTTCAAAAATAATTCAAACAGCATTCATTCCATTTAAAAATATGTCATGTTACAAAATGACCTCATTGTTATTCATTACTTTTAATGATAACAACATATATATTATCATACTAAGGTCTGTAAAGAATTATACACACACTTGAAATTTGTATAGAATGTCACACAATGTTTGTTTATATCAATTTAATAATTAATAAGCTCATTATTATAATTACTCACAACTACATCATATTCATAAATAAAAATATTCAAATTTCTGAGTGACAAATTAATAAAAAAATTTGCAACCAAATCTGCTGTAAAATAATTTATACACAAAGTAGTAAATTTGTCCTTTTACATAAAGATTTAATAATTAATATAAATTCCTTTCTTTGGAATTAGTTTTTAGTTGTTCTTAGGCTTTGTTTCTGACAAATGTTACAGTTCATGTAAGTTTATTTTATCCTAAAAATTATAAATTGCAACTGTCAGTTCACGAGCAGTTGTGTATTGTTTGTTGTTAGCATGGCATAGCTCACATATTTTCCATGGGATTTAAGTCTGGACTATGCAGTAGCCAGTCCATTACATCTATTATTTGTTGTTTAAACCAGTTTTGGTGGATTTAGATGCATGACAGGAAGCATTATCTTTCTGAAATATCCACTCATTCCATTTGGATTACTGATTAGAGGAAATACGTTCAAATAACATAGAATGACTTCATAAAATATCATTAATTGTGATAATATCTCCTTTGCCATTAAAAGGAAATGCTGACCAAACCATGACTCCACAACCTCCCATCTGTCTGCTAAAATGTTCTCTTGGTTGCTTTCTTAAATCATGCCAATAATACCTATCATGATCTAGTCCAGGCATGGCCAGCATATGGCCCACGGGCCAGATCCGTCCCATCTAATGAATTTATGTGGCCTGCGATTAATCTTTCCATATTAGCTACTAAAGTACGAATAGCTTGATGAAAAGGCCAACAACTTACTTGTTTAGAGTTAACCCTCCATTACAAATCTCTTAAGTACGGTGTAAAATGTTGATAAAGCATGATAATGTGTGAAAAATCTATCTGTAATCTCTATGTACAATTTAGTCTCTATGGGGTGACACCACAATGAGATCTTGCACCACCTCAAAATCTTCCTAGGTCAGCCTCTGGTTTGGCCCGTGAAAAAAGTTCTCTTTCCAATTCGGTCTGGGGGCAAAAACTGTTGGCCACCCCTGATCTAGTCCATTCAGATTAATTAAACATTTTTCCTCTGAAAACACCACATTTTTCTATTTATCAGTCCAACTCATTACTGACTTTGCCCATTCTAATCTGTTTTGCTTGAGGTCACTTGTAAGTTTTGTCTTGAGTTTAACAAGGGGAACATTATCATTATTTTTGAAAACATTAGCTATCATTGAATGAGACATTTTCAATAACAAATTAGCAGCAATGGCATATGTAGGCATTCCTTGTGAGGTGACTAGATGGAAAACTCTTCTTTTCATTTAGAGCATGTTTTTAATTAGATTATTTACTCGTATTTATCCCATATTGATCACCTTTTTAAATAACATTATGAATTGTGTCAATAGATCTTTTCAGAAGTTGAAATCTGTCTAAGATTTTCCTTGTCTATGATACGAAAAGATTTTTTCACTTTTTCACTCAATTCTTTTCCTTGTGTCATTTCGTAAAACCTTAAGTCAGAATGATACAATTATTATGTGAGAGGAGTAAATGATATGCATTTTAATTTACATATTGCTTATTAAGTACATTCAATTATATGATATGATACACAAACTGTATGCATAATTATTTTACAGCAGATTTGGTTGCAATTTTTATATTAATTTATCACTCAGAAATTTGAATATTTTTATTTGAGTAATTATTTATAATAATGAGTGTTAATTAATTATTAAATTGGTATAAATATTGTGTGAAGTTCTATACAAATTTCAAGTGTGTGTATAATTTCTTTAAAAAACTTTAGTATGATAATATATATGTTGTTATCATAGTTATTCATTTATTTTTAATGATGTCATTTTGTAACATGAATTTTCAATTCACAATTTAATTGAAAAATAATTCATTTGTTCATTTGTTAAAATAATTCTTGTTGGGTTTTTCTGGTTACATCATCAAGTTTGGTATTCCTTTTGTGATAAATAATAAGAGAGAGACTTGAACATGGTATTCATAGATTTAGAAAAAGCTGATGAGGTTTCTAGAATGGCAGGTATGTGGCAGGTACTTGGTTTTCTCCCATTCCCTTCATCCTATATTGCAATAGTACAGGATATGCCTTAACAGGTCAGAGAGTAAAATTAAGCAAGGATATGGAGATATATTTAGGTTTTGACTGCTGAGTCATTAAGTCCATATCTTCTTAACAGTTTATATAACACTAAAATATAAGAGTATAGTGAAGGAAGAACCATGGTGCATGTTATTTGCAGACGGTGTGGTTCTAGTTAGATAAGGCAGAAGAAGCAATCTATTTCTAAAACCTTTTCCATCATAAAAAATTAAAGATTAGCAGAGAGAAAACAAAGTTTGTACACTTTTATAAGGAAAGAAAGTATACAGGTTAGTTTGGAGTATCATCATTAATTTGTATAATAAAACATATTATAAATGTTTTATTTAGTGTAATATATAAAGTATTTATCATTATTATTTTAAGAAAGCAGTGCATAACAATATATTACTAAAACTAGCACTTTTAGTTTGTATGACTGCCATCAACACAAATATGGAAAAGGATCTCACTTTATTTCTCATGTTAATTCTTGATGAAGGGTTATACACTATCAGAATCAAAGCTTATCTCACTTATTGATTTTATACAAGAATTTTCTAAGAAATTTTCATCAAGGAAAATGCATTTGAATTAAATTAAATGTAAACAAATATTAAATTTATGGTTTTGTTGTCTGTTTACATTATGATATAATTAATGATAATTTTTTTAAAAATGACAGTTAACAATTAAGCTTTTTAATTCACATCATTTATTGAATAAATAGTTTGGCCTGTTTCCGTAAGTATATTTGACATTGCCTTTCTCATACGATCGAAATGAGAGCCTTGCCAATAAATTTTTCCACAGTTAGTGCACAATAGGAAATTTTCTATACGATTTAATGCTTGAACAGAGAGCTCAGAAATTTGTATTTTAATATTTATTGGAGAGGAAGATGATGATGAATTTATGTTAGTTATGAAAATTTTCTCATTATTGATAGATAGTTCGTGTCGATCTTCTGAAGTTTTGTTATAACACTGATGATATCTTGTCCATATTTCTTTCATCTGATAATTATCAATTTCTAAATAATCATCACCATTGCACACCTAAAAGTGAAATTATGTTTATTATAAAATTGATAAAATTTATTTAATTGTCAAACTTTCAAGGATGGTAGAAAAAATTTATATTGAATAATAGGTTATAGAATTGAACAATCAAACAAACTATAAATAATGATTCTTATACTATATATGTAGTAACTACAGGTTAGCCCAGAAGGTAGTTAACAGAGATACTTTCAATGAAATGATTTAACTATTTTTAAAAAAATGTGAATCACAAATAGCAATATGCAGCTATTCCAAAATAATCTTAAAAAAAATCACACACTGTTTACTGACTTTTGGACAACCCTGTTTATATATATATATATAAAACCATCCATAGGATGACTCAAGACTCTTAGCATTTACATTTGAAAATATGTGAAAATAAAAATAGAATTTTTTTATTTCCTGCATATATATTTTAATATTTTAGAAATTATTGAGAAGCACTAGATTTAAATATGTTTTTATACTAATGGCTTCCTCCTGATCCTAATTTACCATGGTGGCCTCTTTATAGTCATTAAACATTACTGTTTTATTTTATAGTTAATCTTTTACTATTTTACAGTACATTTAGTCATATATATAAAAAAAATTACAAAAGTCAGTGATAAAACACATGTTTAATTTGATCAATAAAACCAAGGAAATTTTTAGTGTTGAATTCAGTATTGTCAAAGCTTTTCTGATTAAGATTAAACATTTCAAAAATGTGATAAATTACTTATTTTTACAGTATAATTTATACTAAAACTACTCCTTACTCTTAAAAATAAATTTAATATTTTACGAGCCATCCTATAGATATTTTTCAGACTTGATCTACATTGTGTTAATCAACTCAATTATAAACATCTTGATCAGTTGAAGATTTAATTTGATTTTAAAAAACCATAATTTTATGTTAACTTTTTGTTTTCTTAAATGTATGGCATACACCATCATATTTAAATAACTTTTAAGATTTTTATGTTGCTGAATAATAAATTCTAATGCCAATATTTAAACATTAATAAACCTATCTTATAAATAATGAAGGCAGATCAAGATATTTGATATCAAATATGTTGTCTCTATGATTCCGGTAAGTAAACATAAAAGTTATAGTACTGAAACAGCAGATTACATATGTAATGTATTAACTGCCAAATCCAATTTAAAATCATGTTGTAATTATCACAATTATACAGTAATACCCTGAATTTACACGATAGGTGGGACTGAGCGATAACCGCGTAAGTTGAATTCGTGTAAGTCGGGGTATAATTTCACAATTTGTGTAAAATCCAAGTCGGATGTATGTAAACTAATAAATGTTCTCGTTAATCTTATCACGTCTTTTGATTTGTTCACGGTTACAAGAAATCATCACATAGAGTCTCTCAAGTCTCTGTAGATATAACAAACACAGAATAACACAAAACAAATTGTAGCTATGTGTCAATTCCGCACGACATGTCCGAACATGTAAGCTGAACAATAGTGGGGGGGTGAGTAATCAAGAGTTGCATGGCACTCAAACAAAAGACGAATCGATGAGATTTGAAAATCATGTAACTCCGGGTTCGCGTAAGTCAAGGTATTACTGTATAATAATTACATTTATTTAAAGCTACACAAACTTACTATATTCTTTCATTTTAGAGGATTGTTTTAGTGTTTCATTTCCCTTTTGTTGATAATTTCATCTATCAAGCTGTTAAATAGTTCTTCTCTGTAATAAAATCTCTCCATATCCCTTACATTCTTCCAATTTACTAAAATATTTTCTTTTCCAATATTTCTAGGCTATTTTCAATTAACAATTTTCATATTTAATTTTAACTAATAATATTTTGTTTTTCTTTTTAAATAAATTTAGAAATTTGGAATTTATTATAACAAGATAAGTGAAGATTATATTAATTAATTTATAAATATTCATATATGACATTTGGAATTTTAGTAGTGAGAAAATTGCCTTCATCCTGGATATGTTATTTGCATTCCTTTAGTATAGTCTCCACCCATAAACAGAGCAGAAAGCATTGTTGTAATTTTGGAAGCCATTCAATCAGCAGACTTAGTTCTATTGACATCTGTTACTGTATGGCCTATTGCACATATTAATTTCTCCTGATTTAAAGCATTTGCCAAGAGTTGGTTCCTTCACCTTGCAGAAAGATTGAAGTCATGTGGGTTCATTTCAGGAGAGTATGGAGCCAACATGTCTTTACGAAAGTTGTTCACTCAAATAATGAAAAATCGAATGATTCAATGATACAATTTTCTTCATCTGTAATTTGGTCTTTAAGACATGCACTGTTGTGTGTACCAGTCCAAATTTGACAGCAAGTTCTTGAATTGTCCATTTTCTGTTTCTTTCCTACAGTGATGCCACTATTAATATTTGCCTTTCATTCACAGCTGATCTTCCTGATATGTCATCATCCTCTTCTGAACTGTTGTACCTAGGTTTTGCACGATAGAGTGGGTAGCTTGTGATGATGATAAAGGCCTTTGTAACATATTTTTTATAGTTTAATCCCAGGCCACTTCAATAATGCATTAGTCAAGAACACTGTACAGTCTTTGAAAATATTGTTTAGACCAGTTAGTTAGAACACTAACATTTCAAACAACTGCAGCATGTTTCAGGTGATTTAGATATCACACACATTATTTTTTTATGCTGCTGGCATAAAAAAATAGGTCTTGATATTTCATATTTTAACAAAAGTATAGCACAATTCTCACTGTTAAAATTCCAACCTATAATTGTTGAAGAAAATGCTAAGTTTCTACATTGTTAAAAATTGCACAACAGTTTCTTCAAATAATGCATATCCTTTGTAAAAAAATTCTTTTAAATTATACTGATAAAATTGGTATACTGTATCTTTCTATATAATACATCTCTGTAATCCAAAAAAATTTGGTAGACGGACTCACAGCCAAACTTTCAGTTAGGAACTCACTTTTATTCCTTAAAAAAATGACAAATGCATTTCAGGTTGGTACACGCATCTGTGAGGTCAGCCGATTAGGGTGAGGGTTTTTCGACAGCCGAGCGGTCCTTTCTGTCGTGTGGGCACAGAATGACTTTCTGAGACAGGTTTACCATTTTTAACCCGTTTATTATATTACAAAAGATTCTTACAACGTTCTTCAAATTTTCAACGTAACACAGCTCGTGGAGCAAATTAAAAGTTCCTTCAAGGGTCCGACTTTCTCCGTTTGGTCCTTCGATGTCATACGTTGATATCGACGGCCCCGGGGCGTGCGGCACAGCTTCGGCGAAAGTCTCTGGTGAAAGGCAAATCTGTGCAAATCAAGACGTCACTGGAGAGCGACAATAAGTCACGGGAGTTGACGAATCGGTCACGGTTGATAAGTAGGATCACAAAAATCCTGGAGAGGAGCACCAAGAACCAAGAACTACGAACCAAGAACCTTTGTCCCTTGAGTCGCACGGTTTTATAGATTTCTTAACCATCGTCGCCTCTCCATTGGTCTCTCATAGTCACCTGGTGACAATTCGAAACCTAATGAAGGGCGCAGGAGAGGTCAACGTTGCGACTGAATATGATTCCTCTCTCTCGTCGCGTTTTCCTCGAATTTATCCGTTTCCATTGTTTAACAAATTTACGAAAAAAAAAAAACAATTGCATTGTTCATTCGAGACACCTAATCCGTTTCCTTAGCGTCTGAAAAGGAGCTTTTTATTTTAAATCGACACCCATAATTCGGACCTCTCAGTCGACCCCTCACCCATCCAACCCCTCCTCAGTGTCTTAAAAATAAAAATTGTGTATGGGCTACCAACACATCTAAACACCAACACCTGTTTTTCATCTATACAACTTAGAATTATCGTACAAGCTTAAAGAGCACTTGAAGTGTTTGCATAACATCACTTTGTTAAAATATATATTTTGATACAAATAGTATACGAACAATCCACAAAATACTTAGCAAAACATTAGCAGCCTTGTTCTAATGTTTTGCTAAGTATTTTGTGGATTGTTCGTATACTATTTGTATCAAAATATATATTTTAACAAAGTGATGTTATGCAAACACTTCAAGTGCTCTTTAAGCTTGTACGATAATTCTAAGTTGTATAGATGAAAAACAGGTGTTGGTGTTTAGATGTGTTGGTAGCCCATACACAATTTTTATTTTTAAGACACTGANATTTGTATAAAAATATATATTTTAACAAAGTGATGTTATGCAAACACTTCAAGTGCTCTTTAAGCTTGTACGATAATTCTAAGTTGTATAGATGAAAAACAGGTGTTGGTGTTTAGATGTGTTGGTAGCCCATACACAATTTTTATTTTTAAGACACTGAAGAGGGGTTGGATGCGTGTACCAACCTGAAATGCATTTGTCATTTTTTTTAAGGAATAAAAGTGAGTTCCTAACTGAAAGTTTGGCTCTGAGTCCGTCTACGAAATTTTTTTGGATTACAGAGACGTATTATATAGAAAGATCTTACATACAGCAATCCAGTTATATAGTAATGGTATACTGTAATCGGAACCTTATCTATAACAGGACAGATTTTTTACTCAGAATACAACTTTGTATTAAAAATAAATAAATAATTATGCATTTTGGATATTTTCTNCAGAGACGTATTATATAGAAAGATCTTACATACAGCAATCCAGTTATATAGTAATGGTATACTGTAATCGGAACCTTATCTATAACAGGACAGATTTTTTACTCAGAATACAACTTTGTATTAAAAATAAATAAATAATTATGCATTTTGGATATTTTCTGTGCAAGGTACAGTACATAGATATTTGTAAATCATATATTAGAAATATAACAGATCATACAAATATTGTAAATACAACTAATAAATACAGTGGAACCTTGCTTAATGAGCATAATTCGTTCCAGAATCTTACTCGTAATGCGAAACAATTTTTCCCATAGAAATTAATGTAAAATATGATAATGTGTTCCATGTCAAAAAAAAAAAAAATACTCAAATATTTTGTGTGTAACGTTTATTCAATATACATTGTTAAGGAGCATGAATCATCATCATTTCTTCTGTGAGGACCCAACCGAGGTCCGAAATCATGTAAATCGTGGTATTCTTATGATTAAATAATAACAATAGATTAAATATGAGAGGGAGAGGAAAATCTCATAATTTAAACAACAAGTCCCGGATGACTCCAACATGTGTTAAATGAACTGTCAATGTCAAAATGAAAAGTTATAAGTCAGACACAAGTGATCATAAACAGGTAGAACTTTGACCCAAATGCTCATAAACAATCAATCTAGGGAAACAATTTTGGAAAAGAGAGAAAGATTTAAGAGAGATAAATCATTGCATATGATCGTTCGAATACCCAGATGACAGAAATCGCGAGTAATGGAGCTAAATTATGAGCGCGAGTCTTGCAATTTTGTCAACAATTCCCAAGAACAATCGACAGAACAGCGTTGAGCAGACACCTAGAATCGGACCTTTCCCGTGACCCGAGTCAGTCTCAGTTTTCCCCAAAACAAAAGAGACCAATTGGGAAGCGAGGAAGGAGATGAGGGACCAATCAGAAGTCCGAATAGTAGGAGAAAAAACTATAAAAATCTGAAATTCAAGGTCGGAGAGAAGCTCTCCTCCGTATTCCATGAAAGGTCGTGACTTATATTGTGGTGTGTCGTCGCCAAGAACTTTGGACTCCGCCGCTTCCTCCTTCTGATTGTCCACCTTGCTCAGCGACCTCATCTCGTCCCAGGGCCAGACAGACACTGAAGTTCTCACCTCTCCGCATCTTCAACGAGAAGATGCGGAGAGTGAAGGAGTGTCGATTGTCGATGTAAGCATAAATGTTAACAAATAAACAGCTTTCTTGTATAAAACACTTGTCATCATTTGCCTCCTCCGTCACAGCCCACATACAACTTTCCCTTAGGTTCATCCTGACGTGGGATTAATAGATTCCACCTAGGAGACAGCAACCTTACACAGGTGCCGTGGAGTGGGTTTCAAGTCCCCTATGTCCACCAGTTCAGCTACCCTACACTTCTAGAATGGAATGAACCAATCTGAAATGTGAATTCAATTTGCAGAAAACAAATCACAAATAATATGTCTGGTAATCATGCCAAAAGATATAGCCTTTACATAGCCCAAGAATTTGGCATAATTAAATATTAGAAGTTGCAGCCAAAGTTTTCATCTCTAAAACATGAAGACAAACCATCTTGTAAGCCTAGAAATTTGACCATGGCATTCAGAACATCATTGAAATCATGCTTGAATTCCAAATGCCATTGTCAAACTTCTAGGCTTACAAGATGGTGGCACTCAACGTTTGATGTTCATGTGAGGACCCAAACGGGGTCCGAAAGCAGGCCAATAACGACTTTTTAAAAGAGTCAATTTTCGTAGTGCGAAAGAGCGAACTTAAAGATCGGATTTAAACAATGAACCTTTTGTCTTGTTAAAAGATTTTAAACAATAGATAGAGTAAAGTCGAGGAAAACGAGGTTGGAGAGGAGTCGTGTTCCGACGCGACGTTGAACTCTCCCGCGCCCTTCCTGGAGTTTCGAATTGTCACCATGTGACGAGGAGAGACCAATGGAGAGGCGACCGCGGTGGAAAAATTAATAAAACCGCGTTTTCGGGAACTTTACGGGGTCTTGGGTTTTGGTGCGTAGCGCTACCCTGCTGGGATTTGGTGCTCACGACAGAGACACAACGAAGGCTCTTTCGACGCCCTAGGAGCTGGTTTCGACAACCCGTTCTGTCCAGAATCGCCGAGGTTCAACTCGTTAACCGAGGACATCGCGGCAAGTGCTGGTGCGTGCTCCGGGGACATCGTTCTCTGTGTCCGGCGGGCGAAACACCCAAGGACCGATCGAACTGTCGAACTTTTCCGTGTTGTTTGGGAACTGTTTTAGTAACCCATCGTGGGATAGGCGTTTGCCTGACTTCTTGAATTGTTGTAAGAACAATTTATGTATATTATTAAACGGTTTTATATGGTAAACCTGTCTCGGTGAGTCATTCCGCGCCCACACGACAGTATTAACCGCTCGGCTGTCGAAAACACCTCACCCCTAATCGGCTGGTCTCATATTCACATTTTAGAGATGAAAACTTCGGCCGCAACATCTCTATTAGAAATTAACTGCCTACAATCTAGTCAAATTAATTAATCTCTAATATTTAATTATGGCCTTTACATGGCCCAAGAAATTTGGCATATCATTTGGCATGTTTAACGGGCTATGCTTGTTGATGTTTGTACATAATATGTGATCACAAGTGGAACAAGTGCTAAACACAGACTGATGAGTATGTGCACAATCTGGGACTTCCCTTCTCCCCCTCACTCATTAAGCGAGTCATTTTTTACAATTTGTTTTGCTTGTTAAGTGAGGTTCCACTGTATATCCTTCATAAATATTAATAAATAAATACACACATTTCAATAAAAACTCTTTTTACGTAGAAAAATTTTAACCTTTTTTTTTCAGATAATAAAATTAATTTAATACATTATAGCTAAGTTGTATTATTACATCTTTGTTTTAAAAAAGGAGCAGCCCAAAGTTCAACATGTAGTTTACATATCTAATTATAATTAAATTCTCACAATAAACTTAAAGTATAAAATTATGTTTTGAGTTGCAAGAACTTATTCATAAAAAATTGTACAGCAATGCTGTAACAAATATTATAAAATTATTTTATATTTCTAATAGAAAACTATTTGAATGGCAGTAAATGTTTTCTTGTAGTTTCTGGTTTTGATTTAAACATTCTTTAATATATATTGATTTTGTAATACATAACATAAACCTGACTTCAATATATTTTCTAATTAATAATTCTGAAGTAATGCTACAGTATAAACAATATTTGATCATATCATATATATGCAATTTTTCAAATTTATGAAAGCAGTCTCAAACCATGTTATGTAAAGATTTCTAACTTTAAACAATATAAAATATCATACTCCTTTATAATATAAAATTTTAACAGTTCTTTCATTCTGTATATGTTAATTCATAAATATTAAATAAATGATTATGAGTAGACATTTATATGCTATTTAGATTGTAATATTATGTCTGATTTTTATTCACATCATATTTTTAATTTTTTTAAATGATGATAAATAGTAAGATTGATAAAAACTTACAGAACAGCGAGAAAATATATCTTCCTCATTGATTTTTATATTAAAATGTCTGAACACAGTCATGGCTTGTTCTTTTGCATTTTGTGAACATGGCACATTAAAACACCTTCCCTCAGGTAAATAAGACTTTAACTAAAAATGAAATATAGTAAATTAAGCACATTTTAATTAAAAGATAGTTACATTAATATTTATTTTGAATGTTAATTTTTAATATGTAAATTTTCAAAATTATTTATAAAATGAAAGATAAAATTTCAATAATATACAGTATATACCTGAAAATATGGTGCACCACTAGTTAAAATAATTCTGTCTTCTTTTAAAGCAATCTAAAATGATGAAAACAGTATATTATTAAATAAGAATTTTATATTTTAATAGGTTAAATATTAAACTCTTACCTTTGCAGCTTCTGTGTGATCATCCAAGTTCTCTAAACATTTTGTGTCACTTCCACATTTACGAAGAAATTTTCCCAACCCGTGTAACATATTATCCACTACAAATTTAACATCTTTAATAGTACATGGTGAGTTGTTAACTGTTTGTAATGGAGGAGAAAACTTTTTCTAAAATTAAAATAATTTATTATTATTATAAAACTCAAAATTACAATTAGACAACAGCATAAAAAATTGAACAGCAAAATACAATTAAAGATTATTAAAATTAGTTTGGATAAAATTGTAAATGATAAAAAAAACTACTTATAAAACTGAAAAATCAATAAGAGATAATAACAGAAATTGGAATACATATAAAAAATGATTTTTTGTTACTATCTTCATAAATGTACTGTAAAATATTTGGATCTTTTTTACTTTTCTGCTTTAAATCACTTATATTTACAATACATCTTGACATAGGTATATTATTAAAAACGAATTTAAATTTCTCTTCTTTTTCCTAGATTATTTAATTTCAGAGCAATAATTCCAAATACCGGTTAACCAAAAGCATTCCAGTTGGCAAATTCAAATTTCCACTAGGACTGTGGTGTTGCAGTACTCTTCCCTTCACTGCCAAACTGAACTGTAGGCCTAGTTTAATGTATTACATTAATGTAAGGTATGTATTTGTAATATGTGTGATACAAATTATATACAGTACAGTTTTGTGTAAATGATCAGTTATCCGAACAACCCCAGTACCCCAGTCCCAAATTTTTTGGATAATTGATGCTCTACTGTATATATGTTGAATTATGAATTTTGATAAAATTAAATAAATTTGAAAATCTTTGTTTCATATTTTAATTTTATTTATTACTTAATAATTCTTAAAGGAAAAGTTAACTTTTACATTTTGATTTGAAATAACTTGAAAATTTCATATAAATATACAGTGGAGTCCCATTCAATGTGGGAATGTGTTCCACGTTATAGAGACCTGCATTACCAGACAATTACAATTTTATGCAAGTTTAAACCTAAGTCTAGAAACTGAAGAAAAAAACACACTTCTGGATGACAAAATTTGAATTTTGTATGAGTACCAGTAGCAATTTTTTGTCACATTATATGAATTTGCATTACAGAGGAGCATTTATGGAACTTCACTGTAATTAATTTGAAAAAAAAATTTAAGTTTACTTAGTTATTCTGAAATGCTCCACAACTCAAATTCTAGACTCTTTAAATATTTAAAAAGATTCACAAAGTTAAAATAGACAAATAATGCATTTGATCCAATATAAGTACAGATTGTCCGTGGAAGATCTTTATCATTCTAAAACATTAATAACAAAAATACTAACATGTGAAATGAAATGCAGTTTGCTGCAAAAGAATGAAGTAATCTAAGTTTTTTTACAGTACCTTCAATGTAGCTGAACGTGAGCTCCGTTAGTAGCATGAACAATGTCGAGTCTGTACTCGTTTTCCCTCCAAGTGTTTTTTAACATTTGCGGTGTAACAGTGAGGATTGCTAATTGTATCCTTTCCTTTAAAACGGATATATCAGAAACATGTCTTTAACATAACTCCACTGGATTTCTTTTTTTGGGGTTATGTCAGGCGATCGCGGACGCCAAGGTATGGGTCCCTATCACAACTGGCAAGCAACTAGCACCATCTACCTCAGGCAATTGATACCAGAAAAAACTCTTAGATTTNATATATCAGAAACATGTCTTTAACATAACTCCACTGGATTTCTTTTTTTGGGGTTATGTCAGGCGATCGCGGACGCCAAGGTATGGGTCCCTATCACAACTGGCAAGCAACTAGCACCATCTACCTCAGGCAATTGATACCAGAAAAAACTCTTAGATTTTTTCATTCTTTTGCAGCAAACTGCATTTCATTTCACCTGTTAGTATTTTTGTTATTAATGTTTAGAATGATAAAGATCTTTCTCGGACACACTGTATTTTTAAGCAAGCAGTTCACCTCAACATGGTAGTTGCCATTTACCTTTCTCATGCATGTACAACTGACATTTCATTGAATGATTAAAAATTAAATATATTTAATTGTTTATCATTCAATGAAATAATAAAAACTAAAACATTAGTCTGGTGATCTCATTTTTTCTCAGTCAATTGTACAAATTTATAGGAAAAGATGCTGATGAATTGTGAGGGCTCCACTTTACCAAGGAGTTTGGGAAATGCTGTCTTAAATACACAAAAAGATTGATTTTTCAAAAAAAAAAAAATTCCAATTCTTGATGTTATGTTAACTCAACTTAGAATATTTACTGCTGATCTAAACAGAACTTTGTTTCAATTTCATTTGATATGATTTTGAATTTGAAATATTTGTACTTTGTGATATATGTTAATCTGTACCAAAACATTAATTGCATCTTATAAACTTTTCTATATATAATTATAATTTTAAGAAATCACGAAAGAAAACTTTAATTCAGGGGTGCCCAATAAATGTGTAAACAAAACCAACAAATTTTTTAATTTAATTTATTTATTTCAATGGCATAAACTCAAAAAAAAAAGAAGCTTCACAAAGCCATAAATCTTTATATATATTTTATTTTTGATTTCCAAATATTTGAAAATATTTCCAATGTGTGAATGAGGAAGGAATACTAAATAAAGCTGGAGTTGGGACTCAAGGATTAGAGACCCAAACAAAGGGAAAAGAGTGAAAGGACAAAAGATAAATAAGTAAGGAAGGTTGGAAAATTAAGGGTCAATATTTGCATAACAGAAAGTCTATTTAACCTTTCTCACTACTTTTTATCTTTTGGCCTTTCTCTCCTTTCCACAAATTTGGGACTATAATCTTTGAGTCACAACTCCAGCTTTATTTAGTATTCCTTCCTCATTCACACATTTCCAAGTATTTGAAAATATTTGCTTTCCACACAAAAATAAAATATGTATAAATTTTGTGAAACTTTTTTTTTGACTTTATGTCATTGAAATAAATAAAGAAAAAATAAATTAAAAAATTTGTTGGTTTTGTTTACACATTTATTGGGCCGCGGGTTGGACACCCCTGCTCTAAGCAATCATATGAGCAACTGACAATTTCAAACCTAAGAACTGAAAAAATGGAGTTGGCAGATTTCTTTTTCAGAAGACTGTAAATCCCATTCCAGGAGAACAAATTTATATTGGTATTTACTTACCTGATTCTGTATTCACTTTTTATATATTGCTTAATTTTACGCTAAATCAAAAAATGCACAGACCTTTTCAGTTGCCTAATTTAAAAATTTTTATTTATCTTCCACTATTACACATTTGTTAAAAGTTATTTATAGATTATATTCTATTAAAATTTATAATTAAATACTTCACACTGTATATATTTTCAATAAAAATTTTTTACTACCAGACTAATATATCTTTCAATTAGTATTTGGAAAACTTGCCTTATTTTTTTGTGAGGTCTTCTTTTTGGATGAAACCTTTTGTACTTTTTGTGATAAAAAGTCTCTAACAATTTGATCAAAATCAAGTCCACAGAGATGCACTTTATTATGTATACTTTCATATATTTCCAAAAGACAATAAGCATCTAGAGCTAAAAAATTAAAAATTAAAATTAGTATAATAATATTTCCATAAAAATAATATAAAGTAAAATAAAAAAATTAACATTTTATTACTTTTTTAAAACATAGACTATATAGATCATTTTACTAACAACATGGTATTTTCACCAATCATAAAAAAAATTCTAATAGATAACAAGATTCTTAAGCAAGTGTGTTGAAATATTAAAATCAATTTTAGATATTCTATAACTTTAATTTTTTACACCTTATATATATATACTTACTATATATGTTATTTAGGTACCTTTTTATTAACTATCTCCCTTATTGTTATAGATATAAGCTCCAAAGTTCACAGGGAACTTTAGAACATGCATGAGTAGTCATACAAATATGATGCCATAGTCTTGAAAAACAAATATTTATAGTCCAACAGCCCAGAAATAGTATAAAGATCATTCTACACTAATTGGAACCAACAAAATTGTCAAATTAATACAGAAGTTCAATCATCTGCTATACTTTGTTTAGAGGGAAAACAAATGTGCTGTTAATGTCATCAACAGCACATTTGTTGTTTGATCAAATCTGTGGAGAATTTTGTGTTTATGAGCAAAGTCCAAAATGGCCATTGTATTATTCTGTTCAAGAGATGCACATCAGCCACATAAGTGTCAGCACCATCATTAGAAGTGATTTGCATCCACACATAATTCAAAGGCACAAAGATTGAACTCTGCATCAAAAGTCCTGAGTACAATCATGACAATAAAATATGGCCAGTAGGATTTAGTCTATAGGCAAAATTCACTTCTCTCTTGATGGCTAAGTCAGCAAGCAGAACTGGAGAATCTGGGCATAGAAAATGTTCTGTGATGCTATGAAATGCATCACAGAACATTAAAATCCAATGATCAGATTCAATAAACACAATCTGAATATTTTTTAGAATGTTAATGAAAAACAAACTAATAATAATAAATTATATATAAAATTTCTTGATATTTACAGTTCTTTGATCTACATAAAAACTTATTACAATTTATAAAGAATTACTATAAATTACATTAAATTCTCTAGATTTTTTTGTACCATGATACAAGACATTTGAGTTATAGTCAGAGGCAGAGTCTCTGGCATCATCATAAAAAGAAAAAAAATGTTTGTCTGAAAAAGAATAAGTGTTAAGAATATGATTGTTTAAAATAAAAAAACTAAATAATTTGTTGTATTTTCTAACAATAACAAATAATAATACTATCCATTTTTCAATTGGACTAACTATAACTATAAATTATTTTATTTATATTTATTCTAATTTTATCTCTGATATTTTGAATTGTGTAATTCATCTATATTAATACTGTATAATTTTTAAAACAAAAACAAGCAAAATTTTACAAAATATATTCAAAATTGCAATTTTGAGAACATACAATTGCATGGGCATCTGCAGAGGGAACAAATAGGACACTTGCTCTCCCCTGGAATCTAATAAAATATTCACAAATTATAATTGTAAAAGTAACTGATGCAATACTGTATTCTATAATCAAGGGTGTAAGGTTACATATTTCAGAGTCCATAATCTAAATGTGAAAAAAACACCAAAAAATTAAACACAGTGCTCCTCTACTTATGAATGTTCAACTTACAAACTTTCAGACATGAACAATTTGACAGTACATTTAAAATTTTAATTTGCATGAATTTGGAATATCTTGCCACTTCTGGGGTAGTGCTGAAGTCAGTCTTTAGCTAGTAATAAACAATTAATGTGGATTAACTTCTATTACACATTATCATTTTTTGTTTTTATGCAAATTCTGATGTTCCATCAAAGTCAGTAACATTGAAATAACCACACTTTTCACTATTATTTGCAGTTTTTATAAACTTTTATGATTAGTGCTTCAATAATGAATCCAAAACAATATTAAATCCAGCAATAGTGATAAATGCAAGAAGTATGGCTCTGTTACTAAGGAAACTAAACTTGACATTATAAAGTCAGTCAGGTGAAAAAAAATTGCATTTGAAACACACTACTGGCGAGTAAATGAGTGTAATGTATTCTACTAAGTCCATTGAAGGATCAAACACTAACAATAAGTGGTTATTAACATGAGTTCTGTAATACACTTCTTGTCTAGTCTTGTATTCAATTTTATGAGCTCTATGATGGCATTTCTTTTCTGCTAGACTTATTACCCCATCAATTAGAAATAGGACAATCTTCAGAAAATCACATTTTTATTTCCTAGAGTATTTATGTTATGATTTTACTGTAAATAAGTTTATAATCTTATTGTTTTAACAGTGCACTTGTTTTTTACTTCATTATTCTATTTTATTGTTTTAATGGTAAAACAGTTTCCAATGACACAGTTTTTAATGTTATGGTTTTAACAGTGTACAGTCGACCCCCCTATAACGTGCGTTCCTATAACAACAATTCCTATAACATAGCGAAAAAATTGTAGCAACATTCATATAAAGTACCTCCTATAATGTCGTTTCGCGATAAGATTGATAGAATCTGGACCAATAGTGGATGAGCAGCCGAACTACTTTCCTCCATCCTGCGCCACGCTACGGAGCGGCTAAATTGAGTTTGCTATCGTCTGTACAGTATTATATATAAATTATATATAAATTAGGTACTGTACATATAATTATATATTAATTAAATATAAATTAGGTACTGTATATATAATTATATATTAACTTATTGTAACTTTATTATAATTAAATATATAATTTCCACCGTCTAGCGTGGCGCCACGCTACGGAGATTTTAGGAAATAAGTTGAGTTTATTATCGTCTGTACAGTATGTAAATTAGGTACCGTAAGTCTAATACAGCACTAATTTTATACATTTCTTGTGAAAGAAACACTTCTTATTCAACGGCCATAAAAATTATTTATATTAATGATGTCTCCAAAGGTCAAGTTATTTTTCTGCGAAAAATTCGTTATCAGAAATCGCGGCCGCCGTTTCGTGTGCTGTTCCGCGACGATGACAAGCTTTGAACAACGGGCGTAGTCGAATGGTGCACACTCGGTAAGTAATCCTATAATTTTTTGTTTATAGCATAGTTTATACGGATTATTCCCAAAAAATTATACGTGTTTTGGAAATGTTGAGTGGAATTAGTCTAGAATCGGTTAATTTTATAGAAGGAAACCTTTCAAACAGCCTTAGTCCATAAAGTTCACACCTATCGGGCTGCGATTGTATCATGTATTTAATCATTCCTACAACGTAAAATTCGATTAGCGTGGAACGTATCTAAGCGTTATAGGGGGTCTACTGTACTTTTTTTACGTATATTGTTTGTCTCTCACTGCTATTACTACTTTATATATCATACTGTCATATCTACTGTAAGTTCACAATTTTTACACCTTAAAAGGAGATGAAATCAGAAGAGTGAGGGATCCTAGTTTTTTGAACACATAGTTATTCTCTAGTACCATACGGTACCAGAGAGTAACTATGTGGAATTTGGTCAGAGTTTGGGAGCTTATAAGCCCACAAAATCAACCAGGTACTATAGGGAGTCATACTGCATACTTGTTATACATATTGTTCTTGTAAATCATTAACATTCTAACTATTGTTATAGCAAACACCTGTAAATTAATAATTATCATCTGTATATTATCAATCGTCACTATTTCTGTGCTTGTCATAACCATGCAAGTTAAAAAATTTTTACAAATTTTGTAACAGTGCAAAAATTTTATGTTAATTTGTATGCATTATTTCCCAAACAATTACATCACAAAGAGTTGAAAAGGGACTCAAAGTCCAAAATGCATACTCCAGGAAATAAAGATGTGATTTTCTGTTTCTAATTGATGGTGTAATAAGTCTAGTGGAAAAGAAAAGCAGTTATAGAGCTCAAAATTGAAAACTTAACATGATCATAGAAAAGATTTTAAAATTTAACTAATGTGAATTAATTTTCATATATCAATATCAGTTCCTTTTTATATTACTGTTACTATAAGTTTTTTCCCATATGAAAACTGGTATTTATGGAGTTTACATGATACATTACAAGTTTGTTGTCATTAGAATTTATAAAGATATGGCTTACTGAAAACTGCATGCATCAAAATGTATGATTGTTATTTTTATATATTTATTTTTCATGCTTTGAATAACATGAATATCTGTATGAAGTTTTTACAGATATTCATATTAGTCTTTTCAAACAAATTAACATCAGTTCAATAAAATAAAAAACTCATACGTAAAATCGAAATAACATGTACTGTACATATAATTTATGGTGATAATAAATAAAATTATTGTTGTAAAAATACATAAACATTCTTTACTGTAAACTAGCAAAGAATGCTCAGCATTGCCCAGAAACTCTGGGAAGGGATTCAGTTGTTCTCATTATAGTCATTTTCATCATATATCAACATAAGGTGGCAGAAAGTATCCATGCAAAATTTGATGCAAATCAATTCAAAGGTTTGGCAATTTATGGGAGATGAAATCAAGGGAAAGGAATGAGGGTCTGAGTTTTAAAGTAGCATATATTTTTTGAAGGATTGTAAAGACTAACTTTGCAAAGTTTGTCCAGATTGCTCAAAAGGTTTGAGAGTTTGGCATTAGGAGATGGAGTGAGGGATCCTAGTTTTTTGAACACACAGTTACTCTCTGGTACCCTATGGTACCAGAGAGTAACTGTGTGGAATTTGGTCAGAGTTTGGGAGCTTATAAGCCCCCAAAATCAACCAGGTACTATAGGGAGTCATACTGCATGCTCCACTAAGCCTATCATGTGTTTGACAGTCCAGCATGCTGGGCTGTCATTGTAACAACAAATAATTTATCAGTAAAGAATAAAGAGAAGTCTGACATGTGAGTCTTTGCAAGATATTCACCTCCAAATATGCAGTTTCGGTTACCATCTTGCTTGTGGATAAGTTTGCAAGCAAGTTATGTTTTAGGCATGGCAACCAGTGCCTTTAACATAAATAAAAAATGCATTACGTTCTAATGACTGAAAACAGTTTTACCTTGAACTAGTACTATTGCCTATTCTCCATGCTCTGCATGCAGTCATGCACTTCGTGCTCTCTATCACTCATACCTCACATGGGAGCAAGCACCTACACCCCTAAAACTATAAAGCATCAAGAACTTACAAACATTCAAATGGGCTATTCACCACCAGCATAGCCACCTATGCTGAAGACTAAGCATGGAGTTTGCATGGAGCATGTGGTGTGACTCTCTATCACATCTGAAAGCAAACTGATTTTGGGAGCTATATCTCAAAAGGTTAGCACGAGGTATGATTCCTTTGACTTTTGCATGCTGTACAGCTCTGTTATGATACCAACAGTGTCATTCACATCTGCAATTGTGCTGATGAACGATGAACAAAGAACAAATAAAATACTGTAGGTCTACTGTATTTACAAATGTTTGGTTTCATATAAGGAAAGTAAATTTGCTCCTTTTAGTTGTAAATATCTGATAAGAATATTATAATAAGAAACAAACCACCAACACAATATAAACAAAACATATACACAACTATCTGAACTGCACAAATCAAAATTGAAAACAAAAATATAAGATGATAAATTTAAAAAATTCCACCAGATGGCAAAGGGGTTTGACCTGGAATGAATCAGACAAATGCAGTGGTAAAAACATCATTCTCCTGCATTTTCATTTTATAATATGAAAATAGTATATAGCCTGTGTTCATATGAAAAAAATAAGCTTTCCAATAGCAAAAGAATAATAAAATTCAGTTTGTTTGATAGAGGTAACCTCAAAATCTACCAAACATTCTCACTTTATATATTAGTGTAGATTAAACATTGCCACTATATTAAAAATTGAATAAATTTTCATATTTAATACCTGCATATATCACTTGAGATTTCCGGAGAGGTCGATTTTCCCAATTTGAAGTGCATTCTTCTTTGCTAAGTGGCTTACCTAAAATTATTTCAGATAATCCACTTAGACCTTTATGATCCGAATATAATGTATTTTCATTACTTTTAAAACGTCGAAATTTTTCAGTTACTTTAGGATAAACTCTATTTAACTGCAATAATAATTAAATTAAATGCTTAATTGATATCAACATTTCATGTATACAATAAACAAAAATTTTGGCTCCAGCCATTTTTTGATTTCAATTTATTCAAATTTAAAAAAAAATAAATTACTGTTAATAGCTTAGAAATGGAGACAATGTTTTCTTAATTGATATCAATACAGTAGAATCTTGTTTTAACAGATCATTTGGGGTGTTTAAAATCATCTGTTCCGAAAAATCTGTTATATTGCAAACAAATCATTTCTCGCACTCCCAGGAAAATATCCATTATTCAAAATAATTTTTGTTTTTTTAAACTCCCTACATAAAAAACACCTGTACTCAAAATTATTCAGCCTCTTGAGATTTCTGTCCTTTATTTTATATACATATGTACATTATGCCATAACAAAGCTGACAGAAACTGTATACATTATAAGCCAAAAAGTGCCAAACTATGTATGATCATTAGCACTTCATGATTTGTTAAAAAAAACTTGTCCATCTTGGTGATGTGACACTTCTGGCTTCTTTTGGTGGTACAGTAGAGCATCGATTATCCGAAAGTCAATTATCCAAAAGAATTCCAGTTGGCAAATTTAAATTTTCGCCAGTGCTGTGGTGCTGCAATCTTTGGCTATATCTTGGGCTACTCAAACATTTTACATTTTTGATACTAAATTAACTTCTGAAGTATAATTTTTTATTGTTTTTATATTTTTCAATATATTTATTTTGTTTGTACAAAATAAAAAAATAATTTTTAACGATACAATAGTCTTCGTTAGGCTTAACATTGACGAAAATTCAACGTGAAGCGACACGCAACGGAGAAAAATTTCAACATGGGATAGGTTAATATATTTTTTCGTACATAATCAGTTATCCGAAATATCGATTTTCCAAACTACCCCAGTCCCCAAATGATTCGGATAATCAACGCTCTACTGTATTGTCAGTATGAACTGTTACTGTTAGTACACAAGCACAATTTCAAGGTGCGATATTCTCAAACACATGTCTGCAACAAAGGTGTTTTGCACATTTGTTGGACACACATGCATATCTGGAAGTATTAAGCAAGAAGTAATTCCCCTCCACTAATTGATGTGCTACAGGAGACACTGATGCATGGCTACAATGTTAGTAGTGAGAACTATGACGATTATGCACTTAGTTTTCACAGCATGCAATGTATTTTCAGTATCCAAAAACATCCAATTATTAATTAAAAGATTGAAAAAAATATGATGTTTACCAAAGATGGAGCTAGAAAAAAATATGTTATTCTGAGTTACAGATCCACTAAAAAGGGGTAAAATTAGATTGATTTGGCAGGACCTGGAGAAAAAAATCCATTATTCCACAATCCCTTAAAATGAGATTCTACTGTATAATAAAATCTTACTGATAATGAATTTCATTGTTTATTTATATATACAGTATATATGAATAATTGGAAACTTTCAAATATTCAATATTAGAATCAGAATTTATATAATACACTTAATAATAATAATATTATATAATATATGTAAATTTTTTATAGTTAGGTATCACATAATATCTACAATATGATCATGAAATAGGGCATTGTGCAATTTAGATATTGTGAAAACACCATATACAATATTTGAACTGTTTATTATGAAAGTGGTTTAAGTACATTTTTACATTCCCAGCTGTTATATTTAACAGAAGGTATGGCAATTGATCAAAAAATGATCCCACCCCAGGTTTTTAATTTTTGGACTCAGAAGACCTTGAAACATCACAAAAAATTCAGGAACTATTTTCTGTATGTATGGATGTTAGTGTGTGTGCATTTGTGTAGCATGATTTTGTTCACCCTCTTTGAAGCTTAATAACTCCTGTGCTTTTGGTTGAAAATTTCTAAAATTTTGCACGGAGGGAGATTTATTAGGGAGATTGATACTATTAAATTTTGGTGGTTAAAGGTCAAGGGGGAAGATAAAGACAGTCATGTGTATTTCCAATAGGGTCAGACTTAATGACGATTTTACTCATTATTAGCATTTACAATGCTTTATAAAACCCATCCCTATCCTTAAAATTAATCTTTTTGCCATTTTATAATAGTTAAAAATATAAAAAGTTTTTTAAATAAAATATCATAACAGATCATGCCACTAAATGTTATCAGGAAAGTTAAACTTATTGCTGGATTTTTTCTTATGTTGAGATATTTAAGGGTTTACATTTAAATTGATTAAAAAATATTGATAACAGGTATCTGGAAAAATCTACATAAAATATCTCGGGCTCTAATTAACAATAATTTTTAACTATGCTGCACATGCTATAATTTGAAAACACATGGAATGCTATAGAACATTCTAGAATTTTTCTCTGCATTTGATTTTCTGCTTCTTTCAAAATGCCAATAAAAATGCTTTACATCTAAGAGTATACAACTTTTATACTTTAAATAAAACATTAGGAAAAAAGTTTATTGTAAACTTTGCAAATGAAGGAATTTCAAAAAAGACTTATATTTCATTCTCCAACATTTTGAGAGTGGATTACCATCACAGAGAAGAAAGAGGTCTGGTAGAAAGGTAGAAATTCTAACAAAAGCCAAGTTAAAAGGATTGAAGAGGGCCTTTGATGACAGTGACAAAGCTTCAATTTGATTTGTAGTTCTGAAACTGAAAATTTCACATAGTTGGTTCAAAGAGGCTTTTATAACAAAAACACATTAAATATCAAAAGAAGCAAGTAATCACTGGCAAAAACAAACTGTGGAAAGTTATTGAAAAAGTTTTATGAAAAGTTCTTCATTTTGGAAAATGAACCTTACTTCACCCTCTTGCACTTTACAATCAATGGTAATGGTGGATTTTATACCAGTGACCTCCTCTAAACCTACTGATGTATATAAAATATTTCAGAACAGGTTTTGATTTGGACTGCAACAGAACTTAAAAGGTTGAGTCAAGCCCTAATCAGAAAATTAATTTTTTGCTATCAATGTTCAGTAATATTTGAATGAATGTATACAACATCACCTAATAATTCCATATGTTTGAAAGAACTATTCTCAAACAGAATATGTAAGTCTTATGGCCAGATCAAACAAGTTCCCACTAAGCCAAAATTGTACTGGATCACCTGCAACAAGAAATCATCATTATTGTCAAAAATGAGGACAGTCCTGCAGATGTGCCAGAAATTAGGCCAATAAAGGATTTCTGGGAAATTCTCAAGAAGACATTTACAAAAGGAGCAGAAGGCAAAAAATATGGATTCAGCTGACCAATTGCATAAAGTCTTGTATAGAAACTTGCACTGCACACCCTAAGTCAATCATGTTCAATGGTGGACAAAAACAATGTACAACTTTCCATCACCTATCAAATAACCGTTTCAAGGTAGAAATTATTTTACACAAACTTGTGCAGACTTTTTCCTGACACTGTTAAAGCCTGAATTTATAGAAACATGAAAATTTACTAAAAACAGTATATGTAAATTCATTATACAGAAGACTTCATAAGAATTAACTAAAGCAAATATTATTTTTTAGAATTTAAAAAAACTTGATAATTATTAATTAAGCAGTTTCTTAAAAAGTGTATTATACAATTCAGATGATCGATAACTATTGTAAAAGTTTCTTTATATATGAAATAATAATAATGAAAGGAACCAAATAAAATTTGTATTTATATTAATGAAACAAAGTATTATTCTAAGTTATATCATCATTGAGAAATTTTGATGATCATAAATTATATATATAAAAAAAATACACCCACAGATTATATAAGTATAAAATGCTTTTACTTACTTTATCATAAAACAAACACAAATCTAGTATATTAGCACGTGTTTTCAACTTATCTTTTCCTTCTTCAAAAAATTCTTTTAACATATCAAAATCATTCTGTAATCCATAACCTAGAAAATTTATATATATATAAATAAATTTCAAAATTTGTTTTCCTTATTTAAGATGAATACATAACAGAGATGACAAGACTCTTTAGACAATGATTTCTTATGCAATAATACACATGTCAATTAATTAAAATATTTACACATTATGTATAAAAAATTATTTTGTCATTTATCTATGTGATTCTAATCCTGATTTGCCTTTAATATGTATTTAGTCACAATGTATGGAACTTAATATACTGAAAATAATACCTAATAATTTTTTAAAATATTTATGTTAGGAATTATTTTCCTGAATTATTACACTAACTAGCAAGGAATTCATTGCACCGGACTTTTTAATTGTTTTAGGATACTGACATCATGATTCATGATAAACCAGAAAATGCGTATCAAATACCAATTTACATATCCTGCAATTGAATTAACTATATATGCACTAGTAGCCCGGGACACCCCCTAGTGGGCGTTGTTTACAAATTTCCATGAAGGACAGTTCCTTTGACTTTTTTGTTCCTATCAATATGCTGTACAGCTCTGTTAAAGTCCCAATGGTAAGATTAGGTGAAGAGGTGGCGACCTCCCCAAACTGTAGCCCCATGCGAACAATAAAGGCAAAGGAACTATACCCCTACTCGCGACCCTTCGCGAGATATAAGCCCCTGAAATAATAAATTCCTATTACAAATATACTGAATTATTTATATTGTTATATTGACCAAATAATAATTTAT